GTACCTGTCTGTGCCTGATATGATACTCTCAGACACATTAGCTTGATGGAATGTTTCACTTGACTTCAAAAATATCAATTGATATATATGCACCCCTAAACTATATTTAAACAAACAGTTCTTATATCAACCAAAATTTTACTTGAATTGTACTATACTTTTAGAGAATGCTGTTTGTAAGTAGTAAAATATATATGTATGAATTCTCTAACTAACAAAAAAATTCTTTCAAACTTAGAGATTTATAACCTAACAAAACTGAAAAGTATAGAAAATACTAGAAGTAAGGCTTAACACCAATGTATATCAAAACTTATTAAAAGAGAACTGATTTCTTCCACTACTGATTGTGTTAATTGAAAAGAATTATTTAAAACATCACTAATTTCTTCAGTAGAAGATGACTTTGTGTAGCAATTTTATCAATGACCAATAACCCAATGATTCCTTTAAAAAAGTCAAATAGAAACAGACAAAACACCACCTAAATGTATCATTTATGTACTGAATGTAATATTTGAAAACCTTACAAAGAAGGATTTTCCAGGTACATTAGCATACTTTAACTATATGTTTTTCCCTAAGAAAAATATCTGTTGATTTCTGCTACTAATGAAAAACTGTCCAACAGACAATGTAATACTCCTAGTGAATGTCATTTCTTCCAGTTGTTACTGAATTCATTATAGAATCACTTTAAGGTATAGAGATTGATCACTTTGATAGATTAATGTTTCACATCTTTGTCTTTCTTTATAGTATAATGTTCAGTGTTATAGTTATGTAATACACTATTATAAGTGTTTGTACCATGCTCCATAATAATAAACTCATAATTTTGCATTTAAAAGTTTCCTTCTCATTATTTCCAAAACAAATACTAAGAATAGCATTAAATAGGATGAACAATTGTTAAAAACCATCTCCCTTTGCCACTATACATAATGAAATATGGTAGGAGAGCAGAGGAGAATGGAGGTGTTGGTAGTGCATGAGAATAGCAACAGAGGATGTCAGGCAATTAATGACCTAGCATTTATCTAGATCTTGGTTACTCACTGCCTTTGGCCATGAACTAGATCTAATAAGTGTGGTGGTGCACACTTCCTTGCTTTCAGAGTCTGAATGATTTTATTTTTTAGTTGTTGTTGTTCTTGTTGTTTTAGGATAAGGACAATCTGTCTTGACTTTTGAGGTTTTCAAAAGTGTAAGAGAAAAAAATCTATGTGTCATTAGGCCTACTGCCCATTTGCTCACATATGCATATTCTGAAAGGTACTCCCAAAAGTATATAAATCATACATTTATGGTCTAGTAAAGTTTAAAAATTCAGTCATAACTTTCCCCTACTATAAGAAAATGAAATATTTCATTGGTTCAATAAAAGTCCAATGCAACTAAATAACACCGTGTCTCCACCTCCCACCTGAAAGGTGCACTCTTGCTGCCATAGCAAAGCTAACCCTACCCCACTCAACTTATGTATGGTTTAAGGTGTTTGCTTGCTTGTTTGTTTGTTTTTAAATAAAGAGAATCTTCTAGTAGACATAAGATACATTTGAGCAGTGTAGACACAAGGGGAGGAGGGAGACTGATGAAAGTGCCTAATGCTGAGTGTTGAATTCCATGGTGACTGCACAGGGTGACAGAGGGAAGGTCATGTTCATGGCTGCAGAAATCTGGTTTCCACCAGAGAGCACAGGCAAAAGCTGACCTGAGACTGGGGTCTGAGAAACTAGGTAAGACAAGCTCAAGCACCAATCTGGGTACAGATAGAGAGGGCAAGGCAGTGCTCCTAAGAACTGAGCAAGAGGGAGACAGCAAGAGACAGCAGATCAGTCCAGGCTCGCCCCACAGTGAACACTAGCAGCCCCAAGCGGCTAGGCCTGGAGGGGGAAACAGTAACTGCAATCAGGACACAGATACTAATTTGCTGAGAGACCTCTGGGGTGGGGGTGGAAGGAATCACACAGACAGGTGAACGACCCAAACTAGAAGCTGAAGCCCCTCCCCAAGCAAGGACACCTGCCCAGCCTGGACGGGTCCAAAAGGATGTGTGCAGACAGTGGCACCAACAGCTCCCCCACCATGGGCGGGGTGTGGAGAGTAGGAATACTGCCAGATTTACACTGCATCCCCTTTCCTCACTCAGTCTGCACCCTGCCGCTGGTGTCCGCCTTACCCCTCTAACCTGTAGTTCCTCTTCAACCGAAAAACAAAAAGAGCTGAGGAACAGGAAAAGGGAGAGATAAATCAAAGACAAGGCTACACTGTCACAGTCCTCCCGAGTGCAAGAGCCTCCCAGGGCTGTCCTGGCCGTTTCCACCCTTCTTCGGAATCCAGCAGCCCAGAACGGAGCTGAGTGGACCAGGTCCGCCAAGCCCGTGCCTGCGGGCCTCGGGCTTCAGGGACGAGGTGCTGAGTGCGCAAGCTAATTATACTTGTGGCATTTGGGCAGCCGACTGTCCAGTGACACCTTACCTTATGAGGAAACGTCAACCCAAGCAACTGTTCAAAACAAAATGCCATCTCGGGATCAGCTTCGCCAGCTCTTGGCCGGTTCAGGATTGCTTTTCCCACAGCCTCTCACACTTAGCAAAAGAATGTGGCCTGAGGAGGCCAGCCTTGGGCGGGCGGACCCGCCAGGGTTGGGGAGGGGGGGGGGATAGGCGGGGCGGTCCTTGCCAGGTGTCCGTCCAGTCTCCCCTTCGCCATGGACCAGTTTGTGGACCCGACCACTTGACCTTTTTATTCACCAAACCCACCTCCTAGAAATAGACTGGGCGGGGCAGTGTCTGTTCTCCTCGGGAGCCGGGACCTGGGCATGTGACTATAAAGGGCAGAAGAGAGGGGACCCTGGGGAGGCGGGGGAGAAGGGGCACTCTCACATCCCGACTCCACTAGGTTGTTGGCCAGGCCGCCCGGCCGAGGCGAAGGGCGGGCCCCTGGAGTGTGCGCCCGGGTCAAGCGCCCCGGACAAGGGACGTCATCCGAGTGCCCCACTGACAGTGCAGCAGGAGGTCCGGAGCCCAGCCCAGTTTTCCGCAGCAACGGCTTCGGGCCACCTCCAGCCTGAAACTTCAAGCACGGCCCTCGGAGGAGGTCAGACACACAGAAGCAGCCGGGGACAGCCCATCTCGCTAACAGTCCAGCCCTGCCAGCACAGTCGTAGATTTATTTTTAGCCCCCAAATAGGGGCAGCATTCAATATCTGGCAATCCATACAAACAAATGTATTCAAACTTGGTCAGCCTACGAGAGCTTAAATAAAACTCAAAACACCCCGGCAACAACCACCTTTTATCTGGTCTGAACACACCAATTCTCTTTTTATCTTAAAGCTCCGCGGAGCGCCCGGGAAACAGAGCTAATCTGTCCTCCGCAGCTGCGGGCCGCTCCTCCTGGCGCCCGCGCACAACCCCAGCAGGCTTTGCACAAGCCCCTTCCCTTCTCCGACCGGCCCTTTAAGGGAGAAAGAAAAAAGCAACTCTCCCGGGAGCGGCCGGGCTCGGGCGAGTGGCAGCACCGCCCCCGGGCCTGGGCCGACCTCAGAGCGGCAGATCTCGGTGGGGCTGCGGAGAGTGCCGAGGAGGAGAGGCCCCGGGCTGGGCGCGGAGAGGGGCGGAGGGCGCCGGCGGGGCTCCGGGACGCGGGGTGGGGAGGGCACGAGACAGAGAAGTGCCGGCGACTGCGCGCGGGGCCCAGGGATTCTCAGGCGGAGCCCGCGCCCCGAAGGGCTGGGCGGCCTGTGACACACGCCCCCGCGGGGCCCGGTTCCACTGCTCTAGAGTCCCAAGAAAAGAGGACCACAGATTAGCACTTGGGTTTCGGATTGTCTTGTGAAAATCGGTTTGCTTATTCCTAAAGAGATCATAAAAAAGTCATGTCCGAAAATAAGGGTAGAGGAGAGGAAGATAGAGAGCGGAGGGAACTAGAAGCGACTAGCGCGGGGTCCCAGGAAAGTTGCGGCAGAGCGGCGGCGGGGTGAACGCGGGCGGAGGAAGCGTACGGGTTTTCTAGCGACCCGGGTTTTCTTTCTGAACTCCTCCCGGGAAACTTCACCACGGCGGAGAGCGCTGCGGAGATCCCGACTCTCGCCCGCCCTCGCCCAGCGTCAACCCCACAAATAGCCGGAGTTTCCAAACCAAAATGGGGGTGGGGTGGGGGTAGCGTTAAGAAGCCCAGAAACCAGCGGGTCCTCCCCACCTCCGGCACCCGGAGCCTGGCTAACACTGAAGCGCTCCGGAAAACTGCGCCTTCGCAGTTGGTCACACGGCGAACCAACCCAACACTTTTCAAGAAAACAAAATATTCGCTGGGAAACTTACTTTGCATTTAGTCTCTATTCTTTGGGGGGATGCGGTTTAGGTCGGCTCGTAAGCAAAGCTCGTTTTGTCCAGGTTGGATATTGTCTACTTATGGATCAGCCCTTGGGTGAGGGTTTATTTTAATTTATGGCTTATGCATTCTTTTAAGGTCGATTTACATGACCTCCGGCTACAACTTAAGACAGCCGAGGAGGGCACTCCAGTCGTCAGTCGGCCAAACCCACAATTAAAACAGCCCTCCCCCAAGTCTTGGTGTGACGGGGACTCTCCCGAGGTAGGAGGTAGACTGGCTGCCTGCTTTTCTCTTTTTCTCTCTTCTTTATCCATTTGTCTTTTTTCTTCTTTCTCGCTGTCTTTCTTTTTTAATATCACAAAATAAGATGAGATATCAGTTTGAAAGTTTCGGTGTAACTTTCTCTAAGCCCAAGCCTGCGGCGATAAGGAGAGAGATACAGCGCTCACAAAGCCCTCAGGATGCTGCCCTCTTGTGGGAACAAAGGGCACCAGCACCAGCGGTCCCAGCTGAGCCCCCTCAGAGAGCACACACGCACATGCGGGGCGGGGGGCGGGGAGAGAGCGAGAAAGGGAGAGAGAGAGAGAGAGAGAACTACACACGCAGGCACACAAGCTTCTTACATCACACACTTGCGCAAACTTCAATGAGATACCTACCTCAAACTTCACGGCGCCCTAAAAATGCACTCTCTAAGCCACCTGACTTCTTTTTCCTACCATCCCCAGTGAAGCCGACTGTAACACCTATACGGGGAGGCCGCGGAGGAGGAACTAGGTGGGCCGAGAGGGCGGACAGATTTCCGGACCAATACTTAGGATGACGATAACAGCTTTCTGTTGTCAACGGTTGCGGGGTCTGTCTCACTTCCCCGCCCTTTCTGCCTTAGTGTCGTACGCACAAGTTATCTGCAGCTACAGCATGAGTTTTCTCGGAGTGGACTTCGGGGTTTGGGGGTGGCGAGAAAACCGGGAGCCCACCACTCGGGTCTGTCACCGCCTCCGGAACTAGGCACCACTCTCCGAGAGCGGCACGCATCCTCGGGCTCCGCGCGTCCGCCGGCGAGCGGCAGGCGCTCGGGCCCCTCTCTCAGACTCTGCCCTCCCTCTGCGCCGGCCCGCGCAGCGCCCTCCTCCCGCTCCGCCTCCCCCTTCCCCTCCCCAGCCCGGCGCGGAAGCCCGCCCGGACTGGCGGCTGCGGCTCCCGGGACCCCGCGCCCGCGCGGGGCTCGCGCGCTCTGCTCCAGCCTGCCGCCCGTCCTGCCCCGACCCCCCAGCCCCAGCTCAAGCAAACTAACCCTGCGGCTGCCGGGAAAGGCGGGGGCGCAGGCACGGAGGGCCGGCGGCCCGGCCCGGGGTTCCCGCCCCTGCCCCTCCGACTCCCCAACAGGTAGCTCACAAACGGGCCGCGCGCTCTCGCTAGACCTCCCTCGCTCTCCAGATCGCTCGCTCCGTCCCGGTTACCTGGGCGGGCTCCAGGATGGTACCGTGCGGGAGGGCTCCTTGTGCGCTGCGCCGCGGGAGTAAATGGCATTAAAGAAAAAGGGAAAGATACAAATAAAAAAAAAATCTCTTAAGGAAGGGGGAGTCGATGCTAGGTCAATTAGCACAACCCCGGGAGCGAGAGAGCAGAACCCCCCACCCCCAGCGCCGCGGCAGGGGCAGCCCGTTAACTGGAGTCTGCGGGGGTGTCCCGCCCTGGGCGGGGGAGCGCTGACCCGCAGAAGTTTGCCGCCGGGAGCCAGGCGGTGCGCACAGAGCGGGCAGACTAGGGGTTTCCCCCTTGAAACAAGTGAAGGCGATGGTTAGTGCTGTCAATCTTGGCAATCAGTGTGAGCGGCCATGTCGTAAGTATTCAAAGCATTTCCCGTCGTGCAACATCAGAAAGTGAGTGGCCAGGGCATTGATCTGAGCGAGGGAGAGGAGGCAGGGCTCCCCTCCCAGACAACACAGGCAAGATGAGACAAGAGGCGAGGGAGGCAGCGAGCCAAGCAGGGAAGCTGGGAGGGAGGGGGAGGGCCGAGGGAAGAAGAAGGAGGGGAGAGCGGGAGGCACGGGCGGGCGAGAGAGCTGGAGAGAGAGGGCAGGGACCGGCGAGAGCGGAGGTTGGAATTGTAGGAAGCGCCTGGGAAGAGAGAGCAAAGCGACTACTAGAAGGAAATGGGAAGAGGACAAAGAAGAGGGAGGGCTGGGGTCAGAGGGGAATGGTGACAAGTATTAGGTGGGAGAGAGGCTGAGGAGTGAAGGACCCGAGGAGCGCTGTCGGGACCCGGGCTGCTGGGAGGAGTCAAGAGGAAGGCAAACTGAAGTGGGGAAAAGGTAGACGACTGGGGAGAAAGAAAGAGCAAAGTGGGGGTGGGGGGCGGGGAGAAGATAAAGTCGGAGAGGAAAATGTATGGGTGGGAGTTTGTGCTTTGAAAAAGTTACGTGACAGAGGAAGAATGGACTGGAGGCTGAGAAGTACTGAACTGGACCGCAGAAGTGAATCATGAGAGATACAGAGAAGGGGAAGGACAGGGGCTGAAGCAGACCAGGAAGAAGGAAAGAAGGGTGAATATTAGATGAATAGTAAGAAGGATGAAGGAAAGTGAATAAAGAGGAGTGGCAGAAAGAAAGTAAAGAAAGAGGTGCAGGAAGCAGAAATAATGAAAACACACCACTTAATAGGAGCTCAGTAAATCAGAGAAGAGTAATGTATGTTTTTAAAAGACACAGAAGGAGGAATTGAAAGGAAAAAAGAAAAAGCAACTGACATAAGAGATTCTTGGCTTATGTAGGTGGCAATGTTCTGGAGGCCATGTGGATTATGGAGTTAATGGATGAAAATTAGTATAAGTAACAAGACACACAAACTACCAAAGAAAAAGTAATCATACCTTTACAACAATAAATCAGCTCCAGTGAATTATATGTATAAGTTTGTGTTACATGAATTGGGTGGGTGATATATGCGTATTATCTCAACTTGGTATAGGAATAGACTTGAAGAAACCATTTCAAGGGGGGAGGCTTGGACGTTATACATGAAAAGAATTTCAGTCACGGAGGGCAGCATGTAAAACTCCGTACGTAAGTCAGATGTAGGAAATGAAGTTAATAAAAGACCCTCCAAAAATACATGAATTAAAGATTCTTTAATGCATGTGTAGAATACATAAAAAGATTTGAAGGGTATAGAATGCCGTAAAGAAACAAAGACCTGGAAGTTTATCTCAGTTCAAAAAAGCTGAGGGACTGGAAAGGGAGGGAATAATTATGAAGTCAGGTAGTAAGATGCATAGTAAGAGAGACAAATGAGAAAACCAGCTTTGACAGTAACAGACACAGCTAAATAGAGGCAGTGTGTACGAGGTGAGGTTGGCCTGCCTTAAACCAGGCCTGAAGAAAAAGACTACATTTCAGAAACTGAGATCAGTGCAAAGTAAAAATTTCATCAAGTTTAAAAAATTGAGAGGTTCTGACATACTAGCATAAGGTTTGTGGAAGAAGGAGTCCTTACTCTGTAGAAACTGATATGAGATGACCACTTTGAGACACTTCATAAACAGACACTTTGTGAAAGATACGGACCAGAAGAGAGCGGTTAGGAATTATGACTAGAAACGCCAGAATATTCATGGCGGCCTAAAGTTGCCATTTTGAGAAAGACCTCCCACAGATTAAGTGATAAAAAATAAAGAAGAGAAAGCCTCACATAGGAAGATAGAGAGAGTAAGCAAGCCTGAAGATGGAACAAGCTGAGGTGTCAGTCATATACCAGCTTCTTCAAGTATACTCCATGCTCGGTTTCACTAGGATTCAGGACAAGAAAAGGAAAAGGACAGAAATAAGGGTGGGGATGACCAACTCGGATTGGTGGGACAGAAGGAATAACTACATTCTTCTACCCCAATAGGAAATATACTTGAGGGCTTTAAGTTCAAGTGACTTGACAACTGTTTGCTGATAGGAAAGCTAGTCCACAAAAGGAAATTTTGTGTCCCCATTTTCCACAGTGACTTTCAGGATTGAAAAGTCTGCCTCTAGGCACCTAGAAGCAGCCATAGAGAATGCCTGGCACCTTGCATGCCAACTTCTTCCAGGGCTTCCAGAACTGTGGCATGCCCCTTGACCTCCAAGGCCCAAGGGGCAAACCCAGACCCGTGTTTCTAGCCCGGGCAGGAGCCAGTCTCTTCTGGAATGTGGTTTTGTTTTTGTCTTTGTGAATAGTGTGGCCAGGCCCAACGCTTGGATCTAGAGCCTCACGCTCTTCTGCTGCCTGCCCTGGAACTCAACCACAGGAGCCAATCTCTGCAAAGCCTAAAAGACGTCAAAATCAAATGACTTGTCCTAATGCTTGTAGAGTTAGGGCAATGAGGAGAGGTGGTACTTTAAGTCCCAAAGCCTGAATCCTCAGGGAAGAGCCACCAAGGAAGGTGAAACATCTGGGACTGAAACGCTGGGGTTCGAGTAGGTTCCTCAGAATTGCTGCGACAAGTTTGGCTTTTCAAGCGCATCCGTCTCCTTAAATCACACAGCATTCGGGGATCTGGACTAGGGGTGGGAGTGGGACGTGTAAAACTGACCCTATCGGACAACATGAAGGCCACTGGTGAGAGGCAAAAAGGGGGGTGGGGGCAACGTTATCAAGATCTGTGGTATCAAAGGCCCTAATAGTGGACCGAGGTAGACCTTCATGGAAGGAGCGACAGGAATTCTCTTTAGATGGTATCTAATAAACTAAAGTAGATAGATAAAGCGGAACCCAGAGCCGGTCACAACATTGATCCCTAAAGTAATGGAACTAAAGTTTGGGGTCTCAGTGCCGCACTTCAGGCTGTGCACGGGGTGACACGTGGCCCTGGGGGGCGGGGATGTGCCCTCAGGGTTTCCTTTCTGCACTCTAGTCCCGCACACCTGTACAGCTCAGGGGACGCGGCGAAGAGCGGTGCCATGGGATTAAGTGCGGTGCTCTCTACCTGGTCCGCATTGGCCTGTGGGCTCGCAAAAGTCCCGGAAGTAGCGGAGCGCACCCAGGCACCGCAACCAGATCCCGACATGTGGCAGCGCACTTTCTGTGAAGGTCAGAGCCCGGTGTGGCGCAAGAACCCCGGGCACCAAGGTAGAAGAACCAGGCAGGGAAGGAGGGACGCGGATGGGGACTGACTTACCTGCCCTCAGCTGTCGCTGCCTCCCTGCTGTCCCGATGTCCCCACGCACCGCAACCAGCGAACGCAACTCAACCGGCGAATGCAACTCGGCTTTGCTAAGTTTGGCCTCGCACCTCCAGAGAAGAGGCGCTAACCCGAAAAGGCAAGGAGCGCGGTTCCTGGAGAGAGGTCCCCCTGGACTTAGGAAGGGTAATGCAAGGAATTCTGCTCGAAAAGTTAATATTTAAAGCACTCACGCAAAAATCATAACGACCGTTAAAAACCTCAAATTCTCGCTTTAATATTCTCCTTACACCAGCCGGGAGGACAATACAGATCTACATGACTTCACCTTAAGGTCGCTAACTTCTTTCAGGAAAGGCTTTACAGCTACTGTATAAATAAGACAAATATGTCTTTACTTCCAAAACACGGGGAATGAGAAGTTTTAGTGAAACGAAGAACTAGTGAAAGAGTATAAAAAACCAAAAGGGAAGAAGTTGAAAACTTTACAGAACGGAGAAAAGTTTTAGCAATGGTTTCCTTACACAGGGATAACAAGCATACCAGCACTCCAGCAGCCCATCGCACTTCACTTCAGCTTGGTGTAACCAAATAACCCGAACTCCCGAATAACAGTGCCCTTGGGACTCTGCCTCAAGAGGTCGGAACTCGTGTTTCAACAACAAAAGCAAAAAACAAACTGTGAACAATGCTCTGCTTTCTGGAAGACGTCATTCTGCGAAAGGACAAGGCACTGTCCCTCGACTTTAAATGGATAGAGACTAACATTAAATTTCATTTGAATCTGTGCCTCATCCTGTTGGGAAGACCACAGAGGTAGCGACAGTAGCAGCAGCAGCACCGTCACAAAGGAGGTGGGGAAAAGTGGTAAAAATGAATGAACTTTTTTCAAAGAAATATAAAGATAAATCAAAAATAAGT